TTGGCAACTGGGGGCCACCACTCATTTAGTTGGCGAAATATTCTCGGGCGAGTAAGTTGTGTTTGGCTTGGATGCGAAGAAAAAATATAAGAAAATAACATAGAAAATCAAGAAAAAAAAGAAGAATACAAAATAAAATTCTATTAACAAAAAAATAAATTCAAATATTGTTGTTGATGTTATTGAAGTGAAATGCAAATTATGAAAAATAACGCAAAACTAAATTTGTTTATTTTAATTAACCCCAATTGAATTAATTAAATGCCAAAAAAGTGCTAAATTTGGAATATCAACAAAAACAACAACAACTACTACCCCAAAAAAAATCCAATTTAATTAAAAAATAAAACAAGAAGAAGCAGAACAAGAAACAACACCAGTGAGTTCAGTTGTATCGGCGCGGAGGCAACCAATGAAGCGAAAATTGTGTCTATATCGAAATGCTATTTACCTCCTCCTCCCATTTCGATCAACAAAAAAAAAAGAACGGAACAACAACAAAAAATAAATTTAAAAAAATCCCAGAATAACCCGAAGAAAGAAATATCCAACACTAAAAAGAATCAAAAAAGAAAGCAACGAAATGGCAAGAAGCAACAGTTTTCTCTATTTGTGTCAAAATTTGATCTTGCCAAATGGGGGGGGGCCAATGCAGACAATAATAAAACGACGACGACGCCGACGCGCCACCAACGCCGACATGCCGGGGATGGAAAGTCTCCTCTTAAGTCTCAAAAAAGCATGGTAGAAGAATATAGGTAGACGCATCGACACAGCTGCTGAGACAATGAACTGTCCAACCAATTTTGGAATTGAAAATGTTGAATGAAAAATTATTTAAAATTGTAAAAATTCTTGAAAAAGCACAAATTTTAATAACCTCCGAATGACGTCGTATAAGAAAGCATATAAAAATCTACTTATATTTAAAAAAACATTTAAAATTTGTTGTCATATCAATGCTCAGAAGCGTTGATGCCATCTTGGCAAAGGTGTTTTTCGAAGAAATTTTGGAATTTCAAGTGGAGATTTTTTGCCAAATATTTTTTGAGGAATGTGAAGATAACCAGTACTGTGGTACTTATATCCTCCATAAATTTGAATTAAATTGTCCAATTTTTATCATACATTTAGTCGTTCCCCAGAATTTTCCCATTTAAAAAAGAGTATAAAAAGAGGCATTTCTACTAGGGATATATAGGTCGACTTTTGATTAATCAAAAAAATGACTGCAATTATTGAATTTAATTTATCTCTGTGCTAAATAAGAGGGTCTTCCCATGGAGGATACATTAAGTTCATCATTAACTCGAAATATACATTTTTAACCCCATGTGGTATATACAGGGTGAGATAAATAAAAACTGCAACAAAGTCAAACGCCATACGTTTTACATTTTTTTTTTTAAATTTTATTGGATGAAAGCAAAAAATATCGGAAATTGCATCAAATTTTAGAATAAGTTTAGATTTGTTCGAATTGGTCACCTTTTGGCACGAATTATGGCCTTTAAACGGCCAATGAATCCCAGTCGAACGCTGCCTAAATGTTGCTCTGCGGCGTATTTTGGCCCATTCCCGGCGAAGCGCTTGCTTGAGTTGATCGACAATTTCGTATTTGGCTTAGTGCCAACCTTGCTTTCTAAAATACTCCAGACACAATAGTGCAACGGATTGGTATCCGGAGATTTTGGTGGCCATTAGATTTATTGGAATTTATAACCCTTGGCACGAATTATGACCTTCAAAGGGCTAATGAAACCGCGTCACACGCGGCCCGAATGTTGCTCTGCGATGTATTTTGACCCATTCCCGGCGAAGCGCTTGCTTGAGATGATCGACACTTTGGTATTCGGTTTAGTGCCAACCTTGCTTTTCAAAATACTCCAGAAACAATAGTCCAATGGATTGGTATCCGGAGATTTTGCGATGGCCATTGTGCACTGGAAATGAAGCGAGGAACCTCATTTTCTAACCATTCTTGGGTGTCTACAAAATGAGGTCCAATGGTGCTGAGTCCTGTTGAAATGTCCAAGGTCTGCGGCCAAAATGTTTGCGTGCCCATGGCTTTAATACATCCTCCAGACTATTTTCGCGATAATATTCAGCATTTATTCTTATGCCACGTTCGTTTAAAACGAGCGGTGAGCGACCAATAGGCTGTTATGGCGGCCCACACCATCACCATGGCCGCCGCTTGGGTTCTGGTGCCAACCCATTTTCAGCTGACCTCTGACCTGTTTGGCAAGTAAACACGATCATTTTGTTTGTTTACAAACTGCTGGATAACGAATGTTTTCTCTAATCAGAGAAAACCAAATTCGGCAGTTCACCACTTTCGGTCAAGCGCAGCAAGTCTTTAACTCTTTTGAGTCTATTTTCTTTCTGTTGCGGTGTAAGTTCTTGCACTTTTTAGAATTTCAATGGAATTACCCCGAGCTTATTTTTCAATATTTGCCGAATGGAATATTGCGATATGTTCAGTTCACGAGCCATTTTTCATCCACTGCGACGAGGGTTTTGATCAAATCGCTTCATTACTTTTCGAACCATTTCTGCTGTTTTCTTCCGTCCACTTCCTTGACATCATCGGGCTACGCTACCAGTATCACGGTAACGAGCGATGATACGAGACACAACAGATTTATTCACATTTAAATGCTGGAGTGCTCTAACGATTGCCACTTTTGGCGGTTTTCCAGCCAGTCGAGAATTATTTAAGACCTTGATCTTGCACTTTTAAAAAATTAATTTTTTTTTAAATTTTTCATTTGAGGTTTGAAACATTTTTTTTTTAATCTAGCTCAATCGTGTTTTTGAGTTTTGCCTTGTTTTGCCTATTTCTAAAGAAAATTATGTATTTTGTATCTAATTCTGTAATTCTCCCCTCACTGAATAACATTGTTTTTTTTTTAATTGCTTAAAAATATTTTTTTAATTGGAGATTTTTCTAGGCATAGATTTATTTTAGTATTTGTTTTTTCCTTTTAAGGATCACGATCGATAATTATTAAAAAAAAATAATTACTTGATATTGCACTTTTGAAGAATGGAATTTTTTTAAATTTCTAATTCGAGGTTTAAAATATTTTTTGTTTAATTAACCCCTTCATGTTGTGGTTATCAAGTTTCTAAAATGAGTTATGTACTTTTTTCTAATTTGTGTAATTTTTTAAAATATTTTTCAACAAATTCCCCCCACTGAATAACTTTATAATTTTATGCAATTATGACTTTCCATCCCTGTTGTCTCTATTCTATGCAAAGAGCCAGTAACAACATCAGTGGCAGCAACAACAACAACACATGTTCATATATGACTCATTGAACAAACAATTAATGACGCACTCTTGGGCATACATTCTCCAATGTTTCACACACACTCTCTCTCTCTCTCTCTCTCCGTTTCATTTGTGCGTACTCTTCCCCATTTTTGGGGGGATTTCAATCGAGATCTCTCTGAAGTGCTCTCTTTCGCTCACACCTTTCCATTGATATGGCCAAACAAATAAAAGTTTATGGAGTATTTGGAAGAAGGTGGCGATGAGTGGGGGGGAGAAATAAAAAAAAAAACACAACAACCCAAGAATCTGTTTTATCTGCATACTTTGTACCTGTGACTGGTTGAATGGCTGGCTCGCTTGTTTTGCCTGCAATCGTTTAACAAAAAAGGTCGCTAATGTATTTTAGAATTAAAAAAGTAAGAATGGAAATATGGAGATTCGAAATATCACCTGCTGCTGCTGCTGCTGCTGGTGTTTGTCTAAACAAATCGAAAATTCATTCTAAAAATAGCTGCATGTATACAAGCGTTCCAGTGATAGGAAAATGTTTGTTCGTGACTTGGGTATTTTCGAGATCATCAAAGGATTTTGGAAAAATATTCTAGAAAATCAATCATTTGTGGGAAAAAGAATTAAAAAAATGCACGATTGTTGGTTTGTGAATAAAAAATATTTAAAAGAAGAAAATAATATCAGTCGGTTTTAACGACAGATATATGTCCCAGCCTGGGTTATGATTATTGAAACTGTTGACCTTTGTGGGAGAGGTACCAAAAGGAATGGTCCGATCTCTGTCATCTTTTTAACAGATCTTAATGTTAATGGAAATATTGAGATGTGTCAGGTCTGAATGGAATTTTAATTTAATTTTAATTGTTTACCCTTCGTGGGGGTGGTACCAGAAGGAGTGTGCCGATATATCCCATCTCTACAGCAGATCTTGTGTTAGTAGAAATAATTGGATGTGTGAAATAAGGAAGAGAACCAGATACTTATTTTGGATTTTATAAGCGATTCAGTTATTCAAAACTTCGAACCTTTGTGGGAGAGGTGCCAGAAGGAATGATCCGATCTCTACCATCTTTATAACAGATCTTGTGTTGATGGAAATATTGAGATGTGCCAAGTCTGAATGGAATCGGATTTTAATTTCGTGTTTCATAAGCTTCATAAATATTAAAATTTTTGACCCTTTGTGGGGGAGGTACCAGAAAGAGTGAACCGATATATTCCATCTTCACAGAAGATCTTAGGTTAGTAGAAATAATGGGATGTTTGAAATATGAAGAGAACCGAATGCTTATTTTGGATTTTACGATCGTTTCAGTTATTCAAAACTTCGACCCTTTGTGGGGGAGGTGCCAGAAGGAATGATCCGATCTCTACCATCTTTATAACATATCTTGTGTTAATGGAAATATTGAGATGTGCCAAGTCTGATTGGAATCGGATGTTAATTTTGCGTTTTATGAGCTTCATAAATATTCAAAATTTTCACCCTTTGTGGGGGAGGTACCAGAAGCAGTGTGCAGATATATCTGATCTTCGCACCAGACCTTGGGTTAATAAAAATATTTTGATGTGTGTAATTTGAAGAGAACCAGATGCTTATTTTAGATTTTATGATCGTTTTGGTAATTCAAAATTTTGACCCTTTGTGGGGGAGGTACCAGAAGGAATGGTCCAATCTCTACCATTTTTTTAACAGATCATTTGTAAATGGAAATATTGAGATGTACCATGTCTGCATGGAATCGGATGTTAATT